GGGTGGGGAAGGGGTGGGGCGGGGGGGGAAATACAAAAGCCAGACATTTTAAAGTTTTTTAGTTTTGCCTGCAGGACGGAGGACATGATCCTGAAAAGTAGGACATGTCCTCCTTTTGCCGGACGTCTGGCAACCCTACCTCTTCATCCCTTTTTTTTCTGTCATCCTTCAGGGAAGGGCAATTACTGGACCTTGGATCCCAACTGTGAGAAAATGTTTGACAACGGGAACTTCCGCCGCAAGCGCAAGAGGCGCTCCGATCCTGGCAACGCCTCCACAGCTTCCACCGTTTCTGCTTTGGGGACTTTGAAGACTGAGGAAGGGCACACCATCTCTGTTGCTCCAGAGAAGCCCTGTGGGGAAAGCCCCTCCTCTGAGCTGGAGCCTGTGGCCTCCATGAGGAACCATTCCAAGAGCACCTCTCCTCCCGTGATTGTTTCGCCTACCCCCAGCTGCCTCAGCACCTTCTTCAGTGGCATGAACTCCCTGAGCAATGGAGGCCGCCTTCCCGGGAGCTTCAGCGGTGAGTTGCATCACAGAAATCTCTCAGCTGGGCCACTGACTGGCAGCAGTTTCTCCCAGGAAGTTCCTCCAACAGAGCAGCTGCAGCGAGTTTCCGGGCCTGCTGGGGCCTATTACAGCCCATTCCATCCAGGCAATGGTGGCCAGTCAGCCCAATACAACCATTTATACAACTTCACAGTCAATAGCCTCATCTATGCCCGGGAGGGCACAGAAGTGTAGCCCATTGTTCTGATCGCTTTGATCCCACAAGGTAACAAGAAGGCCAGGTCTATTACTCTTGCATCCAGGAAAATTGTGCCTTCATTTTGTTTTGTTTTGAAAACTAACTCCATGAGTTCTGGGAACAAAAAGCTTCTGAAATATGATCTTTGAGGGAAATTATGCAACACAATCTGGACTTGAACTAATATTTCTGCATATTGCAAAGGCCAGTCATCACTGAGTGATTCCAAACATTTTCTGAACTGAAATCTAATGGGTTTTTTTTTAGGTTGTTTTGTTTTTAAGTGCTAGAAAAGAGATCATGTATAGGAAAATAACTGTATTGCTTGTTGGCTGTTATGATTATGTGTTATGATTTCTATTGTAAAGCCTCTGTTTACAAGCGCCGTTTTAAGTGCTAGAAAAGAGATCATGTATATGAAAATAACTGTATTGCTTGTTGGCTGAGTTTTTGTGTTATGATTTCTATTGTTAAGCCTCTGTTTACAAGCGCCATGGTGTAAAACAGGAAGATGAAGAGGTCTTATGAAGTGCCTTGAACAATGTTTTTAAAAAGTGAGGACAGATGCTTTTGCCAGGAAGACTGATCTTTTTGAAACTTTTGTTAGCCTGCCCACTTCCACATCCATGTTTCTGAAGTTCACAGACCAGCACAATGTATAGATGTACTGGGATCTTGATGGGTTTGCATTTGATTTGGTCAGGGTTGGCTCTCATTAGGCAGACTGAGGCAACTGTCTAAGGTGGTTGATGCAGTGGTAGCCTCTCCTTTCCTCCTGATTCTCCTCAACATGCCTCTGTATCGGAAGAGAGAATGGTGTGTGCCACATTGGCCCAGTCAGTGCACCTTCAACTTGCCTGTTGCCTCAGTGGGACTGTCCCATTACCAGCATTGAAGTAAAAGTTCAGCTGTCCAGGTTGCTTCAGAATGTCATCTCATCCTTTGCTTCAGGCAGCAAAATGTCTTGGACCAGCCCCGCCTCAGGCAGCAAAATGTCTTGGACCAGCCCTGGGTTTCATGAATCACATGTGCAGGCTTGTCCCAGAGCAAAACAGTTTATGGGTGTTATCGTGTGTTTGATTAAAGTGCTGTATACTTCTCTGGGACATTTATGCAAGCTTTGCAGGTTTGTATATTGAAAGGCATAACTAGTAGCACCTTTGTGTAAGCAAGCAAATCATTTGACAGCAATTTTTGGGTACACAATTGGTAGGTAAGTCCTACAATACAGTGCTCCTGGGACTGTGCTGCTTTAGGATGCAAACTTCAGTATTTCTGTCTCCACCATAACAAACGTTTCTAGCCTATAGGAAAATCTGCTATGATCCAGAGAAGAGTGCAGCATGCTTTTTTTCCCCATTCTATGATCCAGAGAAGAGTGCAGCATGCTTCCCCCCCCCAATAGAACATCCAAACACACAGTTGCACAACAGCATTGTACATAAGTGTAGTCCTAGAACAGTGACGATTAACCTTTTTGGGCCCAAGTGCCCAAACTGGAAAAAACAACAACAAAAGCCCCAGTGGGTGGTGGTGGACGTGGCAGTGGCAGAAGTGGTGGTGGAAGGGGCAATCCTGGGCATGGAGGTGCCTCGAGACCCCACTCCGGATCCACTGCCAGTGCCAGCTGCTCCAGATCCTGACCCGCTGCCTGTTGGGGCACTAGTACCACGGCTGCAGCTGCCTTCTCAGTTTTGGCTGCAGGGTGGGGAGTGTGGTAGCGATCCGGCGACTTAAGGCTCATGTGCCTGCAGAGAGGGCTCTGCGTGCCAGCTGTGACTTGCATGCCATAGGTTCACCTTTGCTGTTCTAAAGCAAGAGGATGTGGTGGATACGATTATGTGAAGGAACCCTGCCTTCCATGTCGCATGAGCCTGAACACAACTGCTTCTCTGAAGTAGATCAGACCTATAGAATAAATTGTTGAGTGGTAAGCCAACACTTCTGCAAATCCTGTTGTTTTAATGGGTCTGTTCTGGCTAGGACGAATTACTGAATTTAGGCTGTAGGTACCAGGATCAGGACTTGTTCTCTGAAGCTATGCAGCTTTGTACCAAAGATTATTTGGGGGTGGGGTGGGGAGGGAATTGCAGTTTTAGCAGAGCAAACACCTTGCTTTTTTAAAAAAATACAAATTACTTTCTAATACTGTAAGCCACTCTGTAAATTTATTTTTACACATCTTTATTTGTAAATTATAAACTTGAAAATGTACTTATTTATAATGCATTGGGAAAGTTTTACATATTTCTTTGGTAGTGTATTAAAGAAATCTAGAAATACTGGAAATAAAAAAAATTGAAGTTGTTACATTTTTAAAACATTTTCTTGGCTTTCCATTGTTGTACTGTATCTTTTGTGTCTGCACTGCAGTTGATTGATACACAGACTATATATAGACATGCAGGTTTGGGGAACCATGTTGATTCACTAAAAGCAAAGCGTGCTGCTTGTATACTGCCCCATAGCGCTTCAAGCACTCTCTGGGCGGTTTACAAGTTAATTTTGCAGGCTGCACATTGCTCCCCCCCCCCAGCAAGCTGGGTACTCATTCCTTCGGAAGGATAGAAGGCTAAGATAACTTCCTTTTGAAATCTTAGAGTGTGGTCAACCTTTCTGTACAAACCTTGCTGAAATGAAGTAAAAACTACACCTGCGCTTCTCCCATTCATTCCAGCGGGTCTTCTTTAGGAGAACTATGCCATTTATCAGATGTTTCAATTTCATAAGCTAGACTAAACTTGAGACCTTTAATCGGTGTTCAAAGCCACAGTTTCACAATTCCTTCCCATTGCATGCGTCTGTTTCTTTAATATGAAGATGTGATCAAGAGCACACATCCTGGACCAAGTCAAATGCAATGGGCATCTGCCTGTAATTCATATGAATGAACTGTATACTAACTTACTTTTTTTTGATAAGCGAGACTAAACTTGATACCTTTAATCGGTGTTCAAAGCCACAGTTTCACAATTCCTTCCCATTGCATGCATCTGTTTCTTTAATATGAAGATGTGACCAAGAGCACACAGATCCTGGACCGAGTCAAATGCAATGGGCATCTGCCTGTAATTCATATGAATGAACCGTATACTAACTTACTTTTTTTTTTTTAATGAAGTTGAATCTAAGGGCATCACTACATGTTATATTAATCATGCTTTTAAAAAGCACACTAAATGATGCAATTTTTATTTTGATGTAAAGGCAGTCAGCAGGCTTGCTTGCTTTCAGAATGGAACCCAATGTTTTGACTTCTAGCAACGATCATTTCTGTGACTGGAACTTTCTCATGGAAAAGATTTATTTTAGAGCTTGGCTGGGCATTCTCTAGAGCAGTGGTTCCCAATCTTGGATAACCCAGGTGTCCTTGGACTGCAACTTCCAGAACCCCCAGCCAGCCCAGCTGGTGGCAAAGGGTCCTGGGAATTGCAGTCCAAGAACGTGTGGGTTACCCAAGAACCACTGCTCCAAAATCAACATCTACTGTTAGGCCTTGGACTGATTGTAACTCAGGGACAAACTACCTGCCGCAGTGGGATTTCCTCACAGATATTGTGCTTCAGTTTATGTGATTTGCAAATTAAGCCTGTATTTATGTTGGGTTCCCAGTCACATAACAGCATACAAAGTGTAACATGCTGAATTCAAAAAAACTTTTCTTACAAGTTCTCATTTTTTAAAAATATCTCAGTCATTTACAATAAACAAAATGGCTAAAAGTATACAGCATAATAATAAATAACAAGACAGCATTAAATATAATACATGAAAACCCAGGTGTAACCAACAAAGCTAACCAATGGGGAAATGGCTAATCAAAGAAATATAAAGGTTACACTATCTATTGAGAAATAAGTTATGCCCTTTCCTGAGCTATACATATGTGTAATAAAAACAACATATGGCCTTGATGGCTCTGGCCTGTTTCTTAACAAGAGTTTCACATACAATACAGAGAACAATGTTTGAAACTGTAGACTTGTTTGTGATAGGGCAGAGGGATCTGCTACTCCCTTCAACAATGCTAGGGTTAGGAGGTGCCAGACCACTGTGTAGTTCAAAATTCATGGATAACTCTTATGCCCCTGCAAATGTAAGTACAAAGCATAAACAGTGGGTAGGGCACACACACACTAGCGTTGACCAGTGTCAGCCTCCTGACAGGCCCCACTGCCCTCTCTTGCTGCCATGTGGACCAACCATGACAAGAGAAGGGGCAGGCCAAGCTGCTGCCATCAGACTGAGGGGCAGCATATGGCCAACAGGATCCTAGGTAAGCCTGAGACCCGCCTTTCTCAGGCCACTTTCTGGAGACAAATAGCACAGAATTCATTCGTTTATTTATTTATTAAAAGTATATAACCAATACTGTGCTGTTCAGGTTTGTGTAATTAAAGAGAGAAGTGTATTTAGAAGTCAAATTTTCACTGGGTGCTAACTAGCCCCTGGGATCCCAGGCATTATACCTGTGCAATGTGGCACATATCTACACAGAACATATCCTTGTTGAGTTTAATGAGGTTTACTCCCAAGAAATTGTTACACAATTGCAGCCTTAACCTCCTTGGGGTGCATGTCCAAGGCCTCAGAGCATACGAACTCATTAACTGCCACATGGAGGCAATGGCAATACATCAGGTTGGTAGTGGTAGTAAACTGGTACTGCATTAAAGACTGGGGTCTGAGAATTTTCACCCCAGAGCACCTTTCACAACCTTTTACATTTATTTGGGCAGGTGCACTGCTGTACCCATAATCTTCATTTCCTGCAGAACTGTGGATTTCTCTCCAGCCGGGAGGTTGGACTAGATGGCCCTTAATGCTTCATCCCAACATCACATAGCATTCCATTCTGTGAAACCCCAGAGGGTGGAGACTGCAGGAGCTTCAGCAGAAAAAGGTCAACAGAGCAGGGCTGCAATGGAACCAATTAGCTCGAGAGGTAGTGAGTTCATCAACACTGGAGGCATCCAAGAGAAACTTAGACAACCACCAGGTAGATATCCTTTGATTTGTATTCCTGCATTGAGCAGGGGGCTGGACTCGATGTTCTTATAGACCCCTTCCAACGCCCTTGTTCTAGGATGTCTGCAGGATAAAGAGTGGTCTGAACAGCACCATGACCCATCACCATACCCCATGTGCCATGAAAAATGTTAAACAGATTTTGGTATTTTAAATATATATTCTAGCTCAGATTTGATTCTCAGCTTTAGACTTCTACGATAAGGTAGCACATTAAATTCTTTCTAAACATGTGCCCAAACTGATCAGGAACAAGCAGAAATCAGTGGGAAAACAGTCTCCAGTGGCATCTGTCAGTTGCCATTGTTGGGGATCCCTCTCCCAAAGGCTCCGTGCCACAGAATGACACCAAAGGCTGATCCTGTGTTGCGAATGTTCCTGAAGGGGTTCATGAGAACATGCTGAAGCCCTTTTATGTTTGGGAGGAGATGGGTGTGAAAGCAACCTGAGATTTCCACCTGTCTGGAATTTCCCTCATCTGGCAGAACTGAGTGTTCACAACCCGTTTTGCTACAGGGACAATGGAAACATTAATGTATTTGTATACCGTACCACTCCAGTGGTAACCTGATTAACCCTTTACCAGTTGGGTCACAATGCTTGGGCATCTATTGTACACAGAACTTGCTTTTGGGCAGCTTGATTCCTGTGCCCAATTCTGCTGATAAGAAAGAAATTGTTTTCTGACCCCCATGTGCCCATGTCAGATTTGATTCTCAGCTTTAGACTTCTACAATTGGTAGCATGTTGAAATCTGTTTTTCTTTCTAAACATGTGCCAAAACAGATCAGGAATTCTAGAGAAATGTCTTCAATCCACACTGATGCTATTGTTTTCCTTGGCAGAACTAACATTTCTTCTAAGATAAGTGATGCCACTGATTCAAAGCAGCCATTTTGCACTTAAGCAAAAGGACAAGAGTGTTGACTTACGTAAGACTATTCTTCAATTATCTGTGTTTCATTATACCATAAGGATTAGTTTGATGCTTATAGTATTATATTTTGACACAATCAGTTCAAGTATACCTTCTCCACTTAAGTGCATCTTGTTGAGATAATAACGTTTTGCATGCTTTGTAACCCTGGGTGGGAGGGAGGCTTTTAGGAACTAAAGGAATTCCCTCCTTTCCCACTAAACAATTGCTAAAGTATTTTTCTCTCACCTCTGTCTTGCCCCCTTCTCTTCCTGTTTGTTTGCTTTGCATCCTTTTGTTGATCTCTGTCTGCTCCTGATCTTTGACCATGTGGCCAGCACGGAGGTTCTGTCTTCCACATGGTTGGAGCTCACCTCGCCTCATTTTTTATCCTTCTGACTGTGACTATAGAACCAGCTGTAAGTAAAGATACCTTCTTTTCTATGTTAAATTCTTCTAGAGTAACTACTTTAATAAAGTGCTAGTCTGTGTATGGTGAGACTGGGCTGATCTCTGCACAGTTCTTACTCTGCAAACTAAAAGGGAATAACCAAAGTAATTTTTCCAACACATCCCACTCTCAAACAACCTGCCCTCTTCTTTCTTTCCTTCAATAAAGAGACAATACATTTGATGCTGGTGTTTACAGCCCTTCCAGGAACCCTAATTAGTTACCAAGGCATGTGTGAAGATTTGATTCAATAGTCAAGGGTCAACATGTATTGTAGAGCTCCATTGGCACAACAGGAAAGATGTCAGCACAGCAACAGATTGCTGCTAATTAAAGGCTTCTTTTTTATTTCAGGGCAGAATTTAGTCTCATTGAATGTTCATGCACCATGCAATCAAAAAAAGAAACTTTTCAATTAGCAGTAATCTGCTTCAACTAGTGGCATCACTCACACTATACTGGCATATCTCTGAAAGAAGATAATGGCTAATACAGTGGTGCCCCGCTTGATGATTACCCCATTAGACATCGAAATCGCTTTATGACTAGCTTTTTGCGATCGCTATAGCGATTGCGAAATGACAATTCAATGGGGTTATTTTGTTTGATGATGATCAGTTCCCTGCTTCGGAAACCGATTTTTCACTTCACGATGATCAAAAACAGCTGATCGTCAGGTTTTTAAAATGGCCACCTGCTGTTTTCCGGACCTATTTCCAGAAGACAGCGATCGAAAATGGCTTCCCCTATGGAGGATCTTCGCTTTACGATGAGGTATTTCGCCCACTGGAACACATTGAACAGTCTTCAGTGCATTTCAATGGGTTTTTTACTTTCGCTTGACAATGATATCGCTTAACAGCGATTTTAACGGAACGGATTATCGTCATCAAGTGGGGCACCATTGTATAGGAATATATGTGTGTGTTTATGTGTTTTCAGAACAGAATTGTTCCACACAACCAGGTGTAAAAATAATGACACTCCCATGAATGAACGCTTGGGTGTGGCTATTAGGGGTTTTGTCTGGTCATGAGGACAGGTGTACAGGATGTGGCCTAGTACAGTAGACAATCCTAACTCTTCAGTGGTCATGTGTCTTCTTTTATGATGATGAATCCCATATTTAGCAGTGTCCTCTTTGAAGAGCTGTTTGGCCATTGTGCAATAATGCTACACTATGTATTGTCATTTGATACCACTGTAACTCCCATGGTTCCCTCCCACAGAATCCTGGGGTTGTAATTTAGTAAGATGAGATACATAGAACTTCACTGATGCAGAGCTTTGGTGCTATGGTTCAAGAGAGGCTTGTAAACACTGTTGAACAACAAAAGTTAGACAGATGTAAGAAATGAATAAACAAGTATGAATAATTATATGCATGTAAAGCAAAGCATTCATATGATCTGGTTTTAGAGGAAATGCCCAGGAAATAATGTACATGTCAAAATTCTGAATAACAGGCAAACTTTTTTGTTACAACTCCCATGTTAGTAATGTGACCGAAGTATTCTGGTAGTTGTATTCTCTGTTTTCCAAGTTTGTTGTTCTGCTTCTGCAGGCTGTTGGACCTGAGGCACCTACACAGGACTTGACCTGGCCAAACCACATTTGCCTCAACACATGGATAATTTATGCTGCTGAGAGGATTTTGGCCTCTGAGTCCCAGATTCCGCCCCCCCCCCAAGTTCGGAAGATCTATTGGAAGCATTTCTGACTGGCATATGGATTCCGAGCTATCGCTCCCCCCAAAGCTATCCCTCCCTCCCATACACATCTGCTAAACTGCCTCCGGCTCTGGCTCCAGAAGTGTGTGTGTGAGGAGACAAAGAGATCCCCCCTCTACATCCCTGCCCCCCCATCCTATGGACTGCTATGGTTGCTACATTTTCCAAAACCCCTCAGAGTCATGAGCACCACTATTTTGGAGGAGCCTGAGAAAAGACAGTCTGTTCTTTTTCTTAGTCAAATTTGAGAAGTTACAGCCAAAAGGTCTTGATTTTTTAAATGTAAAACTTGTAATTGCCCCTGCCCCATGCAGACACAAATGACCTTTTTTCTCTACAAATTTAAAACAGATGAAAATACAAATCTTGCTTCTCTTGAAAAAGAATGGTTGGTCACAGCTGCTTTTATTTGGAAACAAATCCAGGCTACAGGGAGTGAAATACTAATCCTGAAAAAAGGCCTTTTAATAGTGAAACCGTCCAACTTTCTTATAAACTGCCTTACTAACATGAACCTTCCAAAGTTAGAAAGTTGAAGCTTATGAGCTGGGAAGGGAGAGCTGAACTTTTGATCTTGCCAGTCAGGACCAAATGAAATGATTCTCAGGAAGAGAACTTTTAAACTCCTTCCTGGCCAAACAGACATTAAAAAGCATGTTTCTGGTTATAAAAACATTTTAAGTGATATTTAAAAAGGAATAGAGAATATTCAGAAGCTCACTAATTTAAACTGAAATTACTGGGTATTTGGCTCTGCAGTTGGGGATGGTCTTATTTGATATTAGCAGAGCTTTGGTGCTTATTCCACCCATCTTGTCACTACACAATTCTTTGGTAATTAAGTTTTCTTGGAAAAGGCCAAGCCAGAGGCTTCTTTTTAAACCATATGAGAATATGGTGGGAGGGGGGGAGAGAGGCACACAGTAGGTGACAGGAAAGGAGGGAAGGATGATGGCTTCCCTCCTCCTTCCCTCCCTCCCTTTCTCCCCCCCCGGCTTCCTCCTCCCCCTCCTTCCCATCTCCCCTTCTTCTCTTTCACTTCCCCTTCTTTCTTCCCTTGCCCCTCTAACCCTTGCAAGGCAGTGGAAGAGCCAGAGGGTCAAGAGAGAAGAAAGGAACCTGGGAGAGAGAAGAGGGAGACAAGGGGACACCGAGGAAACTGGGGGGGGGGAGGATGGGGGAGAGATCCCTCCTTCCTGCTCTGCCATTGCCTCGGGCATTGCTGGAGCCAACAGCTGCAGCCATCAGGTAAGGGTGTCTGTGGGTCCACAGGTGCGGGGATGAGATGCGACTCACGAGGGGAACAGGAGGCCTGGAGGAGGCTCAGGTACACCTGCTGATCAAGACTATTACATTGTGGGACATTTCACACCTCATGTCTGAATTTCAAGAAATGCTTCAGGCATCAAGTGTTTGGGCAGACCCCAGCCTGGGCCCCTGGAGACCTGGCAAGTTGGTTTTAGACAAAGGGAGGGACAGAGGGATCTGCTGAGAGCAGACGGGATCCTGGAATACAGATTTGCAATTCTGACTAATACAATAATCCATCCCAGTAATTCCTGATATTCTCTCCCACCTTTTGGCCAGGCCTGGTCTGATTGGTGTTCACAGAGATTTGCAACATTCTTTAAAGAGACCTATTTAGGGAAGGGGGAGAGAAATGTGACACAGAGATTACTACTTTCTCCATAAACGCATGCAAACGCTGCAGTGTTTCCCCACCAAAGTGGAAGAAATTTGAAAATTCAGAGGGTTACAACTTTAGATAAATTTGTTCAACAAAGAAAAGGGAGTGCTATGGCTTCCTAGCTAGATGGTAGGGAGTGTAGCCAAGCTGCAATAAGGGGAGGAGCCATGTTCATGAAGTGGGAATCAGGATGGAATCTAATGTCTACACAAGTCAAGGCGGAACAAGGCCAAGAGCTGGTACGTTTAGGCTGCTTTGGCAATGTTTGCCGAAGGCAGAATTTAGGGCGGATTAGTGGAATCGATGTCTGTTTCCCATATTTCCTGATTCATCAAGCAATTCTTATGTTGAATCCCCACACCAAGGTGCAACCAGTTTTCCAAACTTACATGGTTGAGCAGAGGTATTTACCGAGGTCTCTTGAGTCCTAGTCCATCCTTCTATCTGCTACATCACACTGGGTCTTGAACACTCATTACCGTTCAGCAATTGGCATGGCTGCACATGAAATGTCTAAAGGAGGTTCCTTCCTTGGTCCTTCAGCATTGTCTTCTTCCCATCATCCATGGCTTTTTCAAGTTGCCACACATTCTTTGTAGGTGTCAGTTGTCCTTCTGACACTGGGCCTAGCAGGAGCTGATTATTAAGTATTATGTGCCTGGGGGGAGAGCTGTACAAAATTAAGATGTTTGAATACAAATAAATTAGAGAGAGAGAGAGTCTCCCCTCTTCTCTTTGCAGAAATGATGCATCTGAAGAAGACCTACAGGTGAAACCAAAGCATTTAGCCCTTTAGAAAAGTGTGTGTGGACAAGATTAGCATCCCATTGCTACTTCTGCACCCTGGAAAGAGATACCTCCACAAACAAAATGATGCTGGAATATGTCCATGAATGGTTTTAGGACAGGGTTTCTGAAAGCTACATGGATGGATTGTCCAACTGATACAGTTCCTTATTCCTGCTAGTTAATGAAACATCCCTTTTCTCTACAAAATGAGCATGTCTTCCTTTCTTGGCCACAATAGCAAATAGTAACGGTGACGATCACCCTGCTTTGGCTCATGTAGGAGGTTATTTGCATGTACCAATGGGAGCTGTTGGGAGGTGGAGTCAGAGATGAGAGACTGAAGTGAAGAATCAGTCTGTGGGAGTTAGAGAGAGTGGCAGAGTTAGGAATTAAGGGAGGCAGCTAAGAGTGTTGAACTCATAGGGATTTTGTTTGTTTGATTGATTTACCGTATTTTTCGCTCCATAAGACGCACCTTTCCATAAGATGCACCAATTTTTTAG